CACAGTATAATATACAGCTGAAACAATTTACATCTTCCCTCTGGAATTAAAAAGTTCAGATCTATTTAGTTTTGGGGCTCCAGTCAGGCTTGTAAACAGGCAGGACTTGAGGAGAAGTTATTTATCTCATTACAAAGCCTTAGTACAACTAAGTCCATATTTAAATGTTGTCTTTGAAGTCATTGCATCTATGGGCTTAGTTTTGGGCAAAGAATGTTTAAAATCCTACCATTCTGCAATGTGCCTGCAATGGGAATTTCTTGTTTTTATCTTACTTCATTCACTGTAAGAAATTCTTCTTCACCAAATTTGCCTTAATCAAATAAAAAAAAAAGCCTCTTGTATTATATTAGATAACTTTCTCTTAGGAATGATATAATCACTTTAGAAATGCTCTGTTCTTTGGCTTGATTTGGGAAAACAGAATTATTTTAGTCTAAATTTCATTACTTTGAATCACTTCCGGTCTAGCAGCATTTTTTTCTCCCTGAATTTCACAGTGCCTTTCTTTTTCAAACTCCTGAATAATAATTTGTCATTAAATAGCTGTTGAATGACCCTTTTGTTAGAAGCATTTAAGAGATGATTAAAAGTATCAGACATGGAGTCTACATGTTATTTCAGGGCCAAACTATTTTATACAAAGTGATATTTGTGGTTCGATGCATTTTGCCAAGTACAGAGATCAGCTCCTCTCTACTTTTCTCATATGTGCTTTATAGACTAATTATCAATGAAACATTCATTAGGACAGTGAGAAGTCATGCTACAGATCCAGTAGCATGATCTTCCAGGAAGTACACTGGGAAAAAGAGCACTGAACTGAAACCCAGGGAGAACTGGATCTACTTCCACCTGTGACACTAACTTTAGGGAAGTCCTTGCATGTCGCTGGCCTCGGGTTCCTAACCTTACAAGGAGAGAGCAGGACTAGCTGCCCCCCCTGGAGGGTCTTCTGCCTCTAATGTCCAGTTGGCTTAGTCGTGGCAGAACCACAACACCACTCATACTCCCATCTCAAGCGACTCCAGGTGGTTTTCCTCGACAGCAGGAAATCCCAAAGTCTTCTCAGAGTTCTCAGTTCCTTACGCTGATTTCATCAGTCGGGAGAACCACAAATATCGACCTACATTCGGCCCTGATCTAGGGTTACCACAATTCTATAAAGCCTACACAACCCCTCAAATATGTACGTTAAGATGTGTTTTGAAAAAAAATTAATGCTACATCTGTCTTATAATGAAGAATTTCAAGCATCCCTCCCCCAGGGGTAGATGAGCCATGTTGCCGTTCTCAATGTAAAGAAGCTATCCCAGGAGGAAACTGAAGCATCATGGAAAGGCATCCCACTGATGAGTAACTGTGACACCAGTGAAAGGAAAAATGTCTTCATTTTGCTGTGGACTGTTGCTTTTTGTTAGAGAATGGGGCTTGGCCTGTAATGAGTCTAATCAAAGGTGACAGAATTACTGAAGCGCTAAGGATGTCACAGTGTAATCTCTCACCTCTGAGGCTGGCCCACAGCACGCACCCTGAAAACAGCGATAAAGGGAAAGAGGGGCGAGAGGGAGAGGAGGGGCAGAGAGGGGGAGGGAGAGAAGGGAGGAAGGGGAAGGAGAGATAGAGACACCCCTACTTTTGAGACCAAAAACCACAGAACCCTGAGGGTGAGGGAAAAGAAATAGGAAGGCAATCAGGTTCAAAGAAGAAACAGACCCACATCCCATTTTTTTAAGAAGAGGAATTTAAACAGAAGAAAATGATGGTAAAGCAGCAGCTCCCAGTTAGATTCATATGTAGTATACACACACACACACACACACACACACACACACACACACACACACACACTCGCACGTGCGCGTTACATATTTATTTAATTTATGCAACTGTGGTCTGGCCCAGCTGCCTGGTTGCTATGGGGATAAGCTAAAATTAAGGAATTTTGTGTTAACATAAATGTAACAGCAGAAGAAGATATATATACAGGCTAAATACTAAAGAATAAAACATAGTTGTTACATAATTATTCTTTTAATCTTTTAACGATTATTCTTAAAATTATGCTCCAGTTTTGCTAGACTTTCCAAGGGAAAACACAGAAGTTGAGAAGGTAGATAATTTTATTCCTGGCATGTCATCTCTCCCCTAGACTCTTGTCATTGTCTCCGCACTGGTCTCCCTGCTTCTGCCCTGGCCCCCCATTCTCAGCACAAGAGCCACAGTGATCTAACCAAATGTCACCCAGATCATGCAGTGCCTTGTTCCAAACCTTCCAGCGCTTTCTACTTCATTCAGAGTAACTGATGAAAGACTCCTAGTAGCCCTCCAGACCCTACATGAGCTGTCTCAGTCCCTGCTGCCTCTGACCCGTCCTTCCCACTTGAGGGCCTTTGTACTTGCTCTTTGTCTGGAAAGTTTTTCCCTCAAATATCTTGATGGCTCTCTCTCTCTCATGTATGACATTCTGGAAAAGGCAAAACTATGGAGACAGTAAAAAGGTCAGTGATGTCCAAGGGCTAGGGGAGAGGGAGGGATGAACGGGCAGAGCACCGAAGATTTCTCAGGGGAGTTAAACTACTCCGTACGATACTATAATGGTAGGTACGTGTCATTACACATTTGTCTAAATTCATAGGATATACAACACCAAGAATGAATCCTGATGTAAACCATGGACTTTGGGTGATATTGACATGTCAACGATGGCCTATCAACGTAACCAATGCTCCCCTCTGGCGGGGGATGATGATAATGGGGGTGGGGGGGCGGAGGCTATGCTGTGTGGGAGCAGAGGTACATGGGAAATCTCTGTACTTCCCACTCAATTTTACTGTGAACCTAAAACTACTCTAAAAAATAAAGTCTATCCTCAAAAAAGCATGCCCTCATAGCTCAGGGTTTTTTATTTTCCCTCAGACTTTCCAAGACACTCCTTGGGGGTAGAATAAGAAGGTGAACAGTAGGGGTGAAACTGCAGAACCTAGCACGGGTATTTTTTCTCCTCTGAAAAGGGGTATCTACCTTCCTTGGAGTATGAGGTCTAGGGGTCAGTCTAGGACCCCTCATGGTCTGGTTACATGCTACATGAAAGGACTCAGAGGTCTGATTCCTTTGCCTCAGTCTATTATCTTGTTTCCCTGACTCTTCCCAAGCCAACTCAGGAAGCATTTATCACATCTAGTCTTATCCACAAGCCCCAAGCTTTGCCCAGAATATCTTTCTTTCTCGTCAGTACCCGCACCTTATACTATCTAAATATGTTATTCTTCTGGACCACCATTATCTTCTATGTATTATGTGTCTGTAGTGACACTTGCACATAATATTAATAACTGAAACATATATATGTCTATCAGAAGAGTCACATAAGTAATATTGATTTTAAACATTCAATATAATTCAGGGCAACAAACATTTCTTGAACACCAAAATTATGTACTATGCACAGTCCCCGATCTCAGGAAATCCCCAATTTGTTAACTTATTTTGCACTCCATCATATGACTTTCCAGAACACATTTAATAAATGCTTTTGTATATTGTTGATGAAGACAGTTTCTATTTATACCAAAATAAACAAATTACTCCATGTTTTATAGTGCAGAAAGTTGGCCAGCCAAATGACTGTCATAATTGTTCCTTTCTGCATCTAACTTTATTTATTTAAGATCTTTACATATCCTCCTCTGTTTTATTTCCCAAGACTTAATATTTTAGATACTAACATAGGGATGCTAACCTTCTTTAAGAGGCCCACATTTGGAACATTTACAAAGAGCTATTTTCTCACTTGGACTCCATTAGGAAAAACTGGAGCAGATAGAGGATGGTCCCTCCTTCATTACAAAAAGAAGAAAAAAAATCTTTCTTAAATTGTAAAATTTCTATAGTCTTTTAGAACATAGAGTTATTTAAAAATTTCAGTAAAAGTACAAAGAGTCCTTGGGGCACTGAAGAAGATAAAAGAATTTTCAGCACATTCTACACTTTCAGAAGAAAAATATTAAGAACAAAAATAGTTTCCCAACTCAGTCATTCTTTGGGATTGATAATTTATTCCTGATGGTCCCCCCAAAAAAGGGAAGAGGAGAAAAAGAATATACTTGGCTCCTACAGCAGAAATTATTCATAGCTCTTTTCCCTCATAAAATAATGAACTATTAGATCTTCAATAAAAATCCCTTTCAGTAATTTTATGGTGGGTCTGCATTTTATAATGCATGTTTTGTAAAGGAGAAAAGAAAAGAAGAAAAAAAAACACGAGCAACAAGAGAATCACTTTACAATAATTCATTCCACTGATTTTTATTAAATTTCCAATTCCAAACCTTTCATCCCTCCTATAAAAGTCAAATAGACCATGTTTGAGATTTTTCTTCTGTTGTGATTATTAAAACTGAAAGTTTCTTGACTGCCACCTACTGGTGAAAAACATGTGACAGTTCATTTGGAAAATTCTGCATTTTCTCTCAAGATTTTCCAGTTTAGGGGTTTAAATATTTTACATAAAAAAGACTGAATGCTGTACAATAGCACATTCTGAACATTTCATATGTTTAAACACAAGTTAATTGATCATATATTACTAGTTTTTTAATAAAAAGAAATCAAAATGTGATGTCTTTGTTTTTACAATTTAATCCTTCTCCTAGTATTATTACAAGAAGTCACACAGAGTGTAGCAGCCTGATTTAAATTTTATTTTTATAGACATGGATGCTAGTTTAACTGATGATGACATGAATATTTATGTCAAGATTAGCCAGTGAAATCAAATGAGTTACATATGATGAAAATCTCTCATGGGGGATGTTATTAATTTAATCTCTATAGGCACAATGTGAAAATAAAAAGATAACTCCACTCATAGGGAGAATACACAATGGCAAAAGTAACCAGAATTTTTCAAGGCAATATACTAGTTTGAGGGGGAACATTTACATCTTCACCATCTGTATATAGGAAGCATGCAGTCATTTGTAATTAACGAAACATACCTGGCTTAAAATGTGGTAAAGAGTGGACTCCAGGCCACGTGTCCTCATTTGGTGTCCCAAGAACCTGGTGGAGAGCAGGAAATTGGGGAAACAGACTTATTATTTCCAAAGCACTCAAAGTTCTCCACTGTAGAAAACAGTACACTGCACATGATGAAACTCGATTTTTTTTTCCATTATCATGTGCCAGGAATTTTATTTCAGTAAAAACAAACTCGGCTAAAGAGCCACCCAAGATGAAATGTCTGTGTTGTAACAAATGCAGCTGAATGCAGGCAGACAAGTTAAATCAGCTGCATTTTATCAACTCCAAACTTAATAAGTAGGTTTAGGACTCAGACGATAAGCTGTCATCTTTCTGGAACTGAAGAGAATATGTCCGTGTCTCTCATGATTATTTCATGAGCTTTTGTCCTTCACTCCAGTATCAGATGTCTCATCATTGAACAGTTCTAAGAATGCTGTCATCCCCGCCCCCCCCAATCCTCTGTCTGAACATCAGAATGTTTCAAAGAAGCAGGACAGGCAGCTTGGGGGACACCAATCCTTCACGGGCCATATTGCTCAGTACAGTTAACATCTTTAATTATGTGACTGTTCTCCCTGCATTTCTTCCTTTCTCAGTCCATACCTCCACCTTCTTTCCCTATGTGCTTTTCCATCACAACATCGGATCTGGTTAAAAGAATTAAAGGTTAATTCCAGCTCCCGTGGTCACACTTCCCTTGGATTTCCAGCTCCACCATCCACTGCTGTTATACTCAGTGGTCAGGATCAATCTCTGACTGAGAACAGTGGAGGTGAAGGGTTGGCGCAGACCCTGGAGACGGACTCCCTGCTCTCCTACTTACTTACTAGTCATGTGACCTTGGGCAAGAAATAAGCTCACTGAGCTTCAATTCCCTCATTTGTAAACTGGACGTGGTAACAGTGCCCACCTCATCTGCGGTGAGAACACTGCCTGGCACACAGGAAGCACGGTGTATGTATTAGATATTATTGAAAGCACCAACAGAAAATGGGGTCAGGTGAGGATGGTGCTGCCATGCGGGAGGATCTAGCCCCCCAGTTTTTTCCACAGTGGCCCTTGGTCACCGGAGTCAGTGCCGCATGTTCTAACTCGAACTATCACAGACCAACACAGGGAGCCAAACAAGTTAGAAAGCGCAAGAGATAAAGCCAGAATCTGGCAAAACAGGAGAAATGGCACCTATCCTGGGAGGTAACGAAGCGTATTCACTTTCTCTCTGAGGATTAGCAGGTACTCTAGGCAATGAGGAAATACAGAGCTCTGACGACGTATGCCTTTACTTACTGGAGAGGGGGGACAGGGCTGTCACGTCAAAGGGTGGTATTATGTTTCTCATGGAAGCACTGAACCTGGGTTCAGGGGCTCTGATAATACAAATTCTTTTAAGTTGTAACTAGTTAATTTTGCAAGTACTAATAATACTAACAGTAATAGGCAGATCTACACAAACAAGGTCACACTGTGGATGGGCTGGATGAGATGGAAAGGAGACAGGTGACAGGGCTGGAAGGGCTGGAAGATGGGGACGAGATGAAGATGTTGTGTCTGTCAGAAACAATGGGATAACAGTGTCTCTGCAAAAGGCATTTTCTCTTCTTTTCACTAATTCTGACACGAATTTACGAGAGGGAGACAACCAGAGTGTGGGCAGCGCCCCCAGCTCATCTGGGGACCCTCCACTTTGAGCTCACGCTGAATTCTGCATGAAGGACAATGGGGTTCGACGGCATTAAACTTTAGCAACTAAAAGGAGAAACTTTCAGCTCAGAAATCATGACTTGGTAACAGCTAATCCATCACATATGGAATAAACCCTCTGAATGTTTTACAAAGAATGAGAAGTCCAGCCAGCACCTGCAACCTTGTCCTCTCACGCCCAGTAAAGGTGTGATTGTTACCCTCACTGAACCTGTTTCTATGATGTTTGTGTTTGCAAAACCTTGTCATAGGCACTATCCTCATCCAGAGCCTGTGTCCTGTTTCAAAGTGATTATCAAATATTATGGCCATCTCACAAAAATTACCTGCAAATATAGAAGACATTTTTGTTGTTGTTGTTATTATAGTACTGACTCATGAGATTCCAGACCTCAAATTCCTCTCCTGCTTACAACTCTGGGGCAATGGCACAGTAGTGGGCAGAAAGTGGGCAAAGGGAAAGAAAAAATTAAAAGTCAGATTTGCTTCTTGTAAAAGCCGTTTTGGGAAAGGCATTTCAGGTGAAATTTATGGTTAGCGATGATGGGTTACTTGTACACTAGAGAAAGTGGGTGTGTGTTGTCTCTGACGTCAGAATTTCATTTATGTTTATCAACTAAGAAATTCCACTACCAAGATACTTTTTAGTTAGAAGGAAAAAGTGGTGTTCTCTAAAAGCCAAAAATAATCTTTTGCAAATAAAAGAAAGAAAAAAAAATTGCATCCGGTGTGCCATCAACATTTAAAATGTGGTTACCACTTCTATAACTAACCATCTGGGGCCCTTTGAAATCTTAAAATGACATGCTTTGATATGCTAAAAGGTCTTCTACATGTTCATTTAAGCGGCTTCACCTTAAACCTGTGCTATAAGGCTTGATCATCTCCTGGTTCCTTTACTGGTTCATCTCTTCACTGGGCCAATATTTAGTGGGCTCATCACAGAAGACAGAGGGATGAGCCTGAGGCTCTGTCCTGAGGTGCTCCCACTCTGGTGAGGTGGGCGAATGAGCAGTGATGAGCTGCCTTCAACACAGGAGTTCTCTCGGAGGTGTGGGGAGAGGGGGGTGAGAGCCCAAAGCTGGATGTGCTGGAGTCTACCTGGAGGCGGGGAGAGAACTCCGCAGGACAGGATCCTTTCGTGGGAGAAGAAACACTGAGTAATGGTTATCAGGAAAGACTTATGTCAAAACACTTTCAGGTCTCCAAATTCTCCTGCAGCACATGCCCCCAAGCCTTCCCACCATGGGTTCCTCTTCCGGAATGTCCTGCCTGGGGCTGGTCGGGTTAACGCGAACCTCTGATTCTAGCTTCAGCTCATGGGTCGCCTTCTCCTGAATGGCTTCCTGGACTCTCTGGTCCACGTGACATGCAGTGATCTTTGTGACCTCCAAGGGCTTTTTGTAGAGTCTATGATAGGACCCACCCACTGCCTCGTAATTGTTAGATTACTCGTGTGTCTCCGCACTGGACCGTGGACCTCAGAGTGGAGACCGCTATGTTTGTCTTTGGATCCCTAACGCCTACCTTGTGCCAGGCATCAAATATACACTCAGTGAATGCCAGCTTAATGAATGGATGGTGTGTCTGGGCAACAGCATGAGGTGTGAAGTTTGGTGTGACTGGGTTGCAGGTGAGGTTATGGGATGGGAGGCCAGGGGCCAGATCCTGAATCCAAGGAAACTGTATTTTATCTGTTTCAGATTTTCTCAAACCACAGGTCACATGACCCACTGAGGGATTGTAAATTTCATTTAGAGTGTTGCCATCAGCGTTTTTCAAAAGAAGAAATAAAGAGAGGATATCAGAGAGTAACATACATGATAAAGACACATTGTTTTAAATGAAACTTTTGTTCATGTTGTTTCTCTCTCTCTCTCTGTGTGTGCCCATGTGCATTGTGAATCATGATGTAAAGTGCATTTCTTCTGTTTAAGAGCCATTCTGCAGGGAACAAGAAGTTATTAGCTGAAATCAGGAATGCAGGCAATAAAACAAGTTTGGGGGCTGAGGGCAGTGAGTATAGTTCTGGGTCTTTTAAATGTTAGAAATGCCTGCAGGTCAAGACCAGGGATGTGTAAAGGGCAGCTGGAATTGCAGATATGGATCTTGGGAGAGGGATTTAAGATCCGGGAGCACATTTGGAATTCTTCAGCACATATATGGTAGTAGAAAGCAAATGCCAAACTACAGCTACAAAATGGTCTTCCTTCCTTCCCTATATTCACATATCTACGGTTCCCAGAAGGGTGGCTCTAGGATTTCCCGGACTTACAGCATCTGCTTAAGAAAAACAAGGAACGGTCTCACCATATCAGCAGAGGTTCCCATTGCCTGACCCTGATGGCCTATGATTTAAGGGCCTTAAACGTATCCCTCCAGACTTACCTATGTGCTCACGGGTGTGGCTTAAATCTCACCCACCGTGACAGCCTCTATGACAGGCAGAGGAAGACATTAAGAAAAAGCAGGCCTCTCTGCGGAAACATCTACTTTACAAAGAATGAGAGAAAAGCCAATTCTAAATTTCTAGAACTCCAAGTTCAAGAACGAGTGTTTGTCTGAGACATTTACTTATCACTCTAGATTATTAATAGTTCCACTAATTCTCAATTTGCTAGTCTTTGCTTTTGCACGGGCCTGGGGGCTGCTAAAAGCGGGTCCCCAGGCTTTCCCTGAAGAACGACTGTGGTTTAAGCAGCACAAGGGCTGCTCATAGTTCGTTCTGGGTCAAGGGGTCAGGCAGCGTCCGACATAGACTTGGGCACAAACGAATCCTGGCCTATTCGGTGCAGGTAGAACAGGCTCAGCCAGGTACGTGCTAATGGGGTGACATGGAACACGCTGGGCTCCTACTGTAGGGCTTCCCGTTATATGAGATGGGAGCCCTACAGGTACCACTGATGATTTCAAACTGACTTAGCAAGGACTCTGAGGAAATGGTGAACCAAATAACTACTATGATGTTGAAACTGAAACTCGGAAAGTGCACCCCTACAACATCTGTAAAATAATGACTGCTTCCTAGTTGTACTTTATACTCTAGGTTCTGGAACGTTTTTCCTGGCTCCTCAGTGAGAAGTCCTGAATGCGTGAAGAGGCTGAGCAGAGCTCGGCTTGGCTGTTACACTCGTCACTCTGGGAAAGATGGTACACGGTTCAAAGGTGAGCCAGAGAGAAAGCAGAACTTCCTGACTCTTATCCTGCTTGTGTGCTCTTTCTAGAAAAACAATTATCAAGTGGGTGGAACTGGGATTCAAAATCAGGTTGGTTTGAGTAGAAAGACTACGCTTTCAGGAGCTGCACTATGTGCTCCCAGGCGGTTCAGACGGAGA